TATAAACCTTCAAATTGAATTTGGATGCACGATTTTGTGTTCATGGATATTTTCTCACGACACTCGGTTATGATTTACGGTTCTCGGTAGTCTTTCAATAACTTAATTTCCTTTTGTGGTTCATTTGTCGATCATATATATATTTGTTCGAGTCTTTTGGTTAGTGTTGGCTTTTACGATGCTCTATCGATCAACCGAAATTGTTGCCAAGAAGGGGTGAATTAACCTTTTTAATTTTTTTAGGAATTAAGGATAAATGATAGGAAAATTGGCTCAATGATTTATAGTGGTTCAACTTCCTCAATGAAGTCTACATCCACTACTTTAGCTCCTCACTAAGGATTTCTAACAAATTTACTAATTTGTTCTTTTTTCTAGGCTCAAGAGTAACATTTACAAATTCCCTATCTTTTACAATGGCTAAGATGGAACCAAAAACCCTTTTTAACAAGGATAAAAGGTTGTAACCAAGAAACCTCTAAAAGGAAGGTGTTTACACAATTTAACTCACTAAAGCACTCTATGTCCAAGAGAAAAGGAAAAATAAGGTTGAAAGAGTTTTTCTCTTGATGTGGATTGCTTGGATAAGTTTTGTAAACTTCTTCAAGTGTCCTCAACTTATTTTTATATGGTGGAATGTGTTTGTAGACATTTCTAGCCGTATGAGATGTTTTGGAGGTGTTGGGGACTTAATTATTACAAAATAAAATTGCCGAGACCAGGGAGTATCGATACTCATACTTGGAGTATCGATACTCAGGCTTGGAGTATCGATACTCAGGCTTGGAGTATCGATACTGCACTAATAAAAACTAGTTATTTTCCGACCGTTAGGCTGGGAGTATCGGTACTGAGATCATGGATCGATACTACTATACAAAGTAGCACCGATACTCCTTTGAGTAGCGGTACCAAAAATACCTACTAGAATCTAAAAACATTGAAAACCAATAAGCAGTATCGGTATTGCCATGACGGTATCGATACTTTCCTTACCTTGGGTATCGATACTACAAGAACAATATCAATATTGTTTATGTGGATCGATACTTATTTTTAGTAAACCATTTTTGTGTTCAAATTCAAGTTTTATGGATTTTGAATTATTTTTGAAAACTTTGAATAAATTCAATTTAGTCCAAAAACAGTTTGCCCTTAAAAATTGTTATATCAAAATAGGTTCAACAATCTTCCCTTTTTGATATAACAAAACATATGAAAAATGGTATTGGCAAAACTCCCCCTTAATAAAACATTTAATGAAAAAGAGAAATATGTTGAAAAGATATTAAAGCTCCATCTTTTTTATTTTTGAAATTGAATTTTTCAAAACTTATATTTCTCCCTCTTTTTGTTATATAAACAATAATCCATACATTTAGGTTCAAAAATAACAATGGAGAATAAGTAGAAATTTTAACATAAAATCATTTGAAAAAAAAATCAAAAGTTCCCCCCCTTAACAAATGCATTAAAAATGACTTTAAAGGCTTGACACAAAAAAAACTATTAAATTTCAACAAAGATGAACAAACATGTTAGTAACACATGAAATTCAATAAATCCAAGTCTATATTACTTTATGTGATATTAACATGAAACATTAAAGTTCATATGCATAAAACTATTCAAAAACTATCATGCAATTGAAAATTTTGATATCAATTGTTAGAGATATGACATTTTCAATAAGCATACATGCATAGACAATTAAATTTAAGGTCAAAAGTAAAATTTTGTAAAAGAAAACAAAACATTAAAAAAATTGACCAAAATCATTATGATGAACTAAAAATTAAAAAAAACATTGAAACTTTAAAATGTTCACCATAACATATTTTAACATACATGAGATGAAAAACAACATGTAATCATTTTACTCAAAAACTCAAGCATGCATAAAACAAAATAGGCAACAAATTATGCAAAATTTAAAAAACAAATTTAGGTTTAGAGGTTACTCATTCCTCATTTTGCGCAGCTAGAGCATTTGATTTTTTTTTTACTTTTGTCACCATTGCTCCCACACACCTACAAGATACATTTACTTTTTTTTGTACCCAAATTTCTTTGGGTCTTTGAATGTTAGTTTCAATGCCCCTTATTCCCTTAGGAAGTCATACTTGTCTAATTTTAAATTTTTTTCTTTATAGGACAAGTATGTTCGATGTGACCATGGAAATGACAATGTGAGCATTTTGCCATTTTTAAACATGATGAATTGTTTTGAGAAATTATCTCTTTTTCTTTTGTTAAGTATTCAGGCTTAACTTTCAAATAAAAAATTCTTTTTCTAAATCATTAATTTTGATTTTTGAAACCTCAAAATCATTTTTCAAAATTTCATTTTGTTTTTCAAAATCTAATTTTGCTTTTAAAAGAAAATCATTTTCAACTTTAAATTTTGAAATAAATTTCTTACATTTGGAATTCATGGTCTCAAATTCCAAATACAATTCATCATAGGCTTCTTGCAACTCTTTAAAAGAATTAGAATTTAAATCACAAGAGTTAGAAGTTATCCTTGAATCTTCTTCGATAGCCATGAGACATAGGTTGACTACTTCATCATCTGAGTTGTCTTTATCACTCCAAGTCATCACAAATGCATTCTTTTTGCTTGATCACTTCTTCTTTAAAAAAGGACATTCATATTTGACATAACCCATTCTTTGGCATTCAAAGCCACCGGAGGATCCTTCTTATTGCTCAATTCATACTTCTTGTCTTCTTTTGAAGTCATGAATCGTTTCAATCTTTTGAAAAAATTGGTCATTGTTCTTCTTCATCCTCTTCTTCACTTGAGGTTTTTTTTTGGTAGAGGATTTCAAGGCAACACCTTTTTCTTTTTTCTTTTCTTCTTGTTTTTCCTCATTTTCCATCATCTCATGAGTGAGAAGGGAACCAATAAGTTCATCAAGCGAGAGAGACTTTAAGTTATTCACTTCAATGATCGTTGTCTTCTTTAATTGCCAAGACTTTGGACAAGAATATATCATCTTCCTAACAAGCTTCTCGTTAGGGATGATCTCTCCATATCCCTTGAGACCATTGACAAGTCATAACTTTGATGTTTTCACCTAATTTCATCTTGAAATTCTCATAGTTATAGTTAAGAAGATCGATTTTAGTTTCCCTCACTTCATCAGTTTCTTCATGAGTGTTTTAGAGCTTATCCCAAATTTTCTTTGCATTGAAACAAAATGAGACTCTTCCATATTAATCTCAGCCTAATGCACAAAATAGGATGTGCATGGCCTTGGCATTTTGTTGGAACTTCTTTTCTTCTTCACTCCAATCTTCCATCTTATTGGTTGGAGTTGAGTGACCCATTAGGATAGAGTTCCAAGCATCTAGATCTGTGTCTTGAATGAAAAGCATCAATTCTTACAATATGTATAATTTACTCCATTGAAATAGGGTGACTTGTTGATCGGTTGAGAATCTTTGATGTAGTAAGCGCTATAGGAAAAAATCATCTTCTTGGTTGAGTCAGAAAATGATAGAGCTCTTTTAGGATCTTTACAAGGTTGTTAAACCGTTGATTTTGACCCGCTCTAATACCAATTGTTGGAATTTATGATGCTCTATCGATCAACCGAAATTGTTGTCAAAAGGGGGTGAATTGGTCTTTTTAATTTTTGGGAATTAAGGAAAAATGATAGGAAAATTGACTCAATGATTTATAATGGTTCAACTTCCTCAATGAAGTCTAAATCCACTACCTTAGCTTCCCACTAATGATTTCTAACAAATTCACTAATTTGTTATTTCTTTTTCTAGGCTCAAGAGTAACCTTTACCAATTTCCTATCTTTTACAATGGTTAAGATAGAACCAAAACTCTTTTTTAACAAGGATAAAAGGTTGTAAACAATAAACATCTCAAAGGAAGTTGTTTACACAATTTAGCTCGCTAAAACACTCTATATATAAGAGAAAAGGAAAAATAAGATTGAAATAACTTTTCTCTTATGTGGATTGCTTAGATAGGTGTTGTAAACTTCTTCAAGTTTCCTCAACTTGTTTTTATATGTTGGAATGTGTTTGTAGCTATTTCTAGCTGTTGGGGACTTAATTGCTGCAAAATAAAAGTGCCCAGATCATGGAGTATCAATACTCGGGCTTGGAGTATCTATACTGCACTAATAAAAACTAGTTGTTTTTCTACCGTTGGGTTGGGAGTATCGGTACTGAGATCATGGTATTGATACTACTATACAAAGTAGTATCGATACTCCTTTGTGTATCGATACCAAAAATGCCTACTGGAATCTGAACACATTTAAAACCAATAAGCAGTAACGGTACTACCATGAGGGTATCGATAATTTCCTTACCTTGGGTATTAATAATACAAGAACAATATCGATATTGTTCATGTGGTATTGTTACTATAAGAACAATATCGATACTTTTCTAGAAAATCATTTTTGTGTTCAAATTCAAGTTTTATGGACTTTGAATTATTTTTGAAAACTTTGAATAAATTCAATTTAGTCAAAAAATATTTTGCCCTTAAAAATTGCTATATCAAAATAGGTTCAACAGTTGGGGTTTTAACATTTTCCATGTATGGACAATATATGACTTAAAATGACTAGTTTCAATATTATAGGAAAATATCCAAAAGTTTATGATGATAGTTGTAAACTCTTATTGTAATTTTGAATATTTTTACTTTTTAATGATACTAGTGGCTTCTATTAAAAAATTATAATGTGTCATCTCACCAACAAGAGATCACAAGTTTAAGCACTAACGACTGTAGCAAATGATTAAACACTCATTATTAAATAGTTGATAATATTTAGAATGATACTATTTTATAATCACTATAGCTTAATCAAAAGAATATTGATTTTAATAGGCCAAATAAAAGCGGTCCAAAATTCTTACGTTTGGGCTTGGCTCCGAATATGAGTAACGAACCCAAACCGAAGAACAATTGTTTCATAATTTCAGAGTTATCTGTTTCAAATTCAATTGCCATCGCAGCAAGGAAGTCTTAGAACGAATTCCTGTTCGATCTGAAGACTCCAAATCCTAAAAACCCCCGAACGAAACGAAACGAAACGAAACGAAAGCGAAAGCGAAACAATGGAAAATGATACAAAGCTAAGCATATACAGAGCAGCAAGGGCGATAAAACGCAAAGACAACACTCTCTACAACGCACTTAGATCAATTTACGACGACTCGATCTTCGTTGGTGAAATCTCACAGCTATGGCCTCAACTGCCTCTCGTCGCCAACCTCCGTTGCGGTCTCTGGTATTCTCCCAAATTTCACTCCACTTGTTACTTTAAATCCACCGACGGTCATACCAATAACTGGTCTTTCAATACCTCCCGTCTCAACTTCCACATCGCCCTTCTCGCTGGTAAATTCCTCATTCTTCTTTCTTTCTTTCTTTATTTCTTTCTTTCTTTTTTATTTTACTCGAAACGAATTTATTTATTTATTTTGGGTTTCTTTTGTTTTTCCTTTTTATTGATAGGACAGAAGGGAGGGTGCTTTATAGTTGATTCGACGCGGAGGGGGAAGCGGTTTCCTGATAGTATGTCCAAAACTATACCGATTTGGACGTGTGTTTTGAATCGCGCCATTTTTAGTTACTTGAACAAGTTTTCTAATAATGATTCATCTTTGGTGGATCGGGTGAGTGCTACTAGTAACCTCTGTTCAAAATTTCTTAATTTTGTTCAGTTTCATCGTGTTCAATCTTGTTTTATGAATGTGTTTTATGTTAATTGAAGTTCTTTAATCAATGCTAATTTCTCACCTCTGCCTCGATTTATGATTTACCTCAATTTGTGTCTTCTTACTTGCTTATTTTATGCAGGATTCAGATACAGGGCGCAATTCTGTTGATTGGGATTGTTCATTGCACCTTCCCCTGTGGGTTTCTGAAACAGAGAAGGCAGCAATCGAGGACCGGTTAGAAGGATGGACCAAAGACCTGGAAGCAAGTGGAGCTGATATTGCAACTCTTGCATCGTGCTTGAAGAAGCCTTTGCGGCCTTTATGGATTTCTCAGAGGACTGTCATCTGGATAAATGAAGTGCCGGATTATGACTCTTGGAATTTCACACCGATAATTCTTGTTTCCTCCTCTTCCTCGAATGGAGTAACTCAACACAGGATGACTTCAGAGTTTAGCTGGAATTATATACCAGGAGCTGGAGATGATGAAGAAAGTTGGGCTAGGGGATTGTCTCCTAAGCTTTTCTGGAACCATGCTTATGATCTTATTAGTTCAGGACCAGATTCGTGTAACCAGAAAGTTGCTGATATAGTTGAAAAGGATAGAGTATATCGAGCTCAAAGGGGGCAGAATGCTCCTCATATCACTGCCAAATCCTCAGTCTCTGGGAGCTCACCTAATCTTCCTTGTTTAGAGCCCCTATTGCGTCCAGATCTTTCTAGCCTTACAATGAACTCTTCGGAAAAAGATTGTGGAATATTTTGGCTCGGATCTACTAATCTTGCTATTGGTGTTGGTATGATGTGTTAGCAATTCTATTGCTTTAATTTTGTTATAAGGTTTTGTTTATCTATTTTTCTTTTATATCATGGACGCTGCCCACTAATATTCTCCTTTGACTAAGTTTGTGAAAAGGAACACTTGAAGATACCCACATAAACATTAAAATCAAACGGATAGATGATTTATTCCGTCTTCCTATCTTAAAAATTTATTTCAAGCTCTTGTTTTAGTCTTCTCCTGATATGAGATTATGTTCATATTTCTGTCTATTTCATTGGTGAGCTGGTCAATGGAGGAGTTTAGTTGGCAAATTCTCCTTAGAGGTTCTAAGTATGTTGATGGGTGCTATCTGGATTCTGGGAACATGGTGTCTAAAGTAAAATTCAACATAACTGAACCAGTAGGACTAAATATGTGATACAGATAAGAACATTGTATTATATGACTAGTGGAGGAATTGATTGTATGTAATGATCGTGATGATAGATGTGTGCCAAAATCAAGGCAATGGTGGACGTGGTTTATGGGTTTGAATCATATCTTTGTTATTTGTTTGTTTCTCTTTCGATCTTTTATATATGTGACAATTAGGCAGTAGTTTTTTGTGTAATTTTCATGTTCCTTATACATTGTTTCAATTATGTTGTGCAGCTGAACATGCATCTAATGTTGATTGCATATTGAATTGTGATCAATGGCCAATCTCTGTCCATCATCAAGAGGCTGGAGCGCATCTGTTTCTTCCTATTGTGGTATGTGTGGAAGTAAACTGAAACATGATTTTGCTAATGATCAATTTTGTACATTTCCTGCTTATTTTCTCTTTCTTTTGCTGACCAGAACTCGAAGATGGACCGGTTTTCTTTGTTTGATAACCTTTCTTCTGCAGTTACCTTTGCAAACTCAAATCTTACAAAAGGAAGAACACTTCTTATATGTTGCCACGATGGTAAACCTCACGTACCATATTCCTAATTTAACTGCAATTTATCTTCTCATCCATCTTCGGTTATTTAATAGCATTGAATTACAGGGGAAGATATCAGTGTATGCGTTTGTCTGGCAATCTTGATATCATTGTTTGACGATGAAGGTCTGCATCTTAGGACTAAAAGTAGATGAAATCTCTTTCCCCTGATAAGATGCTATATGAGTTTGCATCGACTTGTTAGATAGTTTCTCAAACTTCACTTTTCCATTTTTAGGTTCTTTCGATGGTGGCAAATCCTTCGGCAAGACAGGTATCACAAAATGTGGGATGCGGCGACAACTTGTATATATTTGTAAATTTGCAATAAAAGCCCGGCCATCCAGGGGAAACCTCAAACAAGTTTTCAGTTTTCTTAGTAGCGGAAAATCCACCAAGTTCGGAGACATTTGATCACCTCTTTATGGTGAAATGGTGCTGGCTTGCAGAATTATTATCCAAATACAGCGCTCAGGAGAGCTGAAGGATCTTTGGTGAACACTAAATTTTGCATTGTAATTTACATTCGTATGCTTAATAATTTAACTGATCTTTAGATTTAGAAATGACTTTGATTGTTATCGAAATCCTGAATGAATTTGATATTGATCGAGGGTGTGTTATATTAATTTAATAATTGAAATGTTTTACATCACTCAACCTCTGGCTCGAGTGAAGTGATTGCAGAATAATGAATATGAGGTGATGGGATAGAAACTAAATGAAGTTATGAGCGAACACTTAAATTACATGTTGCCTCGATGAATTGGTAAAGCAAATTACAAAGAAGTAGAAGCTATAAAGATAATGGTACAAGCCCTTGTTGTGACGATGATAATACAACTATGGGATACAAGTGTGGCAGCTTTCAGTTTTGTTAATCAAATACCCTGTCAGTGTGCGAATCACCCACAAAACTGGGGTCACTTTCACAATATCTGCCCATCAGCTCTGGCTGCACAAACTATTGAAATTTGTTACCAGCTTATTCAGCACCAATCGAAAGCACAAGCAGGGCCAATCACTCAGGGAAAACATATTCTTAGCCAGAAAGTTTACAGGTCAAACTCCTGCGGATTTAAAGGTGGTCGTCTATTCATCAGGTACATGTAACTTCTCAATGGCAGCCTGTTTATAGTGTCAAAGAGGAGCAAGGGTGTAATTGAAGCTGGAAACAGACTATTTTTTTGTAAATAATCAAGGAAAAGACTGAATATAAGTCGATACCTTAATTGTAGCAACATCAATTGCAGATGGCTTCAAATCCAAAGCAATACCAAAATGAAGCATGGCCTTTTCATGCATGTTACACCGCTTATAGATTTTACCCATCAAAGCATGCACACTGCTTTCACGAGGGGCATACTCTTTAAGTTCCTCCAGAACTTCTAAAGCATCATCAAATTTCTCCAATCCCATCAGTATATTAGCCTTCTGATACATGGGAAGAGGGTTCTTCTTATCTGCCAGAATGGCCCTATCCATCATCTTGATAGCATCCTCGCTTTTCTGAAAAATGATCGCAATGAAAGTTAAAAACACTCTTCAAGATGATATTGTTTTAAGTCAAGATGAAATAAACAGTATATTTAGCCTGACCTTTAAGGCATGAAGAGCCGTTCCAAGAAAAGACATGATAACAGAAGAGCGTGAATTTATTTGGAAAGCCATTCCAAAGTGATGCTCTGAAAACTCAAACTTCTCTTGACGAAGATAGATCATTCCCAGGCCATACCAGGCATTATAATGCCTATAATCAATACGAAGTGCATTCTGGTAGCTCTTGATTCCATTCTCAAAATCCTCCAAAGCAACATACCTACATATAGTTATGTAATGGTAGAAGTTTTAAAGAACAAATGTTATCAGCATGTTTAACACAGGGAAAAGGTCTGTGGAAACATACTCATGACCGCAAAGGGTGTGCGCATATGCAAATCTTGGATTCAGTTGCACAGCTCGTTGGAAATTTTTCAGAGCAGTTTCGTGGTCTTTCTGCAAGCTGTAACAGTTTCCCATGGCACACCTGCAATTTAATTCAGATATAAACAATAGAAAAATGATAAATAATTGATTATAAGAACTCTCTGAATGACAGCCTCTAAACTCTTGCTAAGAAGCATAAACCTAGACACTATTAAAAAGGGCAGGCAGGTAGATTTAATCTCAGGTACATAACAAGCTTCAAGAAACATAGGGTAGTGAAATTGGCAAGGTGTACAAAATGTCTGATAAATATACCATGATTGAGGAGCTAAGCGGTCAGTTGATATCAGTTCTTGGGCTAAGTAACTCAACTTCGTATCTTCCTTTAAATGCTGAAAGAATATAACAGCCATCAGAAAATAAATGTACCACAAAAATAGAGGGTTTAGATGAGAAAACTTTACACCCTCTAAAACCTTCACAAGTGGAACTCACATATAGAACAGTGGAGTAAACATCCATTCCTTCTAAACTGTAAGGAGACACCCGATGAGCAAGACTAAATGCTTGTTTGGCTTCCAAGTAATCCACCAATTCGAAATGTGCTTTTCCAATCTGCATTGGAAATTTTTTAAAGAACACTTAGCAGAAAGCATGGAAATATGGAATGAATCAGTACTGATTCTCTCTTACTCACACCCATGCATACAACTTTCGAGCATACCTAAATACTTCAGTTTGTAAAATATTTCAAATTAAACACATAAAATGTGAAAAACTATAACTGCAGAAGTACAGCATGCAAGACTCTTTGTATGACCTCGTTATCAAAAAAAAAAATACAATAAGACTGCTAGTTTAACCTGGTATGAGACAATTGTACATAACAGATGAAGAAAACAGAATGTGTTGCACCAGAAATATTACCTGGGACATCACCCAGCCGGTATTATAATGCTTATGTGGAAGTCTCAGATAGGCATCCAATGCATCCTGTAGGACAGAAGTGTTATTAAGAGCATTGGACATTGCCCAGAGATTTGAATTCAACTTCTCTTTCTTTCAGATAACCATACAATTACCTGACATCTGTACAGGCAAGAAAGTCTGAAGCCTTCCCCAAGGATTCTTAAAAGGCCTAATACTTCTGAAGCACCAATTATGATTTTTGAACCACTAATAGCAACCCCACCAACCAGAACAGTTGCCCCATCTTGACCAAGAGATCTCACATCACCAGAAGGAACTGAACTAGAAGTCACTGGCGCCATATTTGCCCGAGCATCATCAAATGCCTCATTCCTTAACCCTAAACAACATTAGAATTCAAACTTTCTAGGCATCAGAGCAGTTAGAAACAAGTAGATAATTGGAAGAAGTTTTTTCTTCTTATTCATCAGAATAGGAACTAAAATTTCAAAACTCAATTCAATCAAATAATTGTCACGATTAGATTACCAAACGGAATACATGAAACAAGTTAGCTTTTTTACCGTTGTGCCCCAGAAGTCATAAATCAACATATAACAATTGCAAAAGGGAGTGTTTAATAAAGAACTTGTAAAAGAATGAATTGAAGATATCAGAGAACCGGCAATGAATAATAAGATTAAAACCTTCTTCAATATTTTCATTCGCCCGTGGCTGTCCCTTACGAAGTGTCACAGTACGAAGAGCCACGGAACTCAGCTTAGAACTTCCATGGTACTTAGAAGAATTATTAGTCCCATTTCCAGCAACCACTGAGGCATTTGCATTTGTGTTTGCCCGAGAATCTCCAGAGAGTCTTGTACTTCGACGGGGACCAGAATCAGAGAATAGCCTCCCAGAAATCTGACAACAAAAAAGGATCAACAAACTGTTAAAATAATGCCATCCAACCCAAATATTTCCTGAAGAGAATCATATGTCACAGCCAACTAGCATGATATTGTTCATCTACAGAACAGATAGCAAGTATGAATGTGCTCTATAACTCAAAATCAAACACTACTTTCTGGATAGAAACATTCAAAGCAGATAAAACTATATTTATACATATACATATTGATGACTAAGAACCATGAAAAACATGCATATGAAGTTAAAAACCAAAGCTCTAACCTCAAACAATGCATATGAAAGGAATAATAAATTTACAATCACTTCTACCTTTCGTAATTTTCCTTCATCAACAAACTTTCTTCTAGGCGCTTGAATGGTAGTGTTCACAACTGACCTTGGAGAACCATCAGTGTTTTCCGTGTTGAGAGTGGAACCATTTGGCTGCACATTTCTACACAAAGGTGGAGGAGCTACACCTGACAACTACAAGAAACAGAGGAATTAAAGCTGGTTGCCCATAATCAGACGGGAAAAGATCAAACAAACTAAGTAACCTCAATTCATCCACCTTAAGTACCAAACTAATCAAAACATAGAACTCAACACAAAATTGTGATTCAATATGTCGCATTTCACATCTTACATGTGAAGCCATTGGTGAAGGAGTATTATAAAATGGTGAAGGACCACCATTTTGGGGCTGAGAAGCAGCTCCACTTGACACAGCTGCTCCATGATAATTACCAGGAATATCTCTATAGCTATTGCCTTGTGTGTGTTTGACTTGCCTGGGACAGGCGTCTTCAGAAGAAAAGTTCCGCAAAGAAACCAAATTATAATCCTCGCTGGAAATTTGCAAATCTGGGGTAGCTGCCCCTTGATGTAAGTACTGCTTTTGAATACAAAGAGCAGCTGCTTCACCAAAAACTGCAGTTGCTTCTTCAGCAGCACCTAAAATAATCAGACACAAAAGAATATAATATGAATGAATATATGAGAACAAACACTAAATGGTACTAGAATAGGAACACATGAAAAAAGAAATATTTAGTGAAACAAAATCAAACCAAACTAAAACAATCTGCTGAGACGTTTAAGTGGCATAGTATTCCTAAGTCCAACTGCAGTAGAAGAGTCAAACTTTCACTAAACTTGTTAACTCGATAATTAGTAAGATCAGGGATCTGATCAGCCTAGCATGGTAGCATAGCTCTAAAAAGAATACAGAACCATAAGTGTATTTTTTTTAGACAAACCTAATACACTCAACTCCTCGTATGCAGCCCAAAGTAAAGGATCTATAGATAAAGCCAGCCTAAAATGATGAATGGCACTTTTCTTTCTATCTGTGTACCTGAAAAAGAGAATGCAAAATTTGTGGATCAGAACTGTTAGAAAATTGCATCCACCATAGCAGTGATTAGAATAGGGCAAGCCAAAGCATTAAGGATTAGGTTCCTTCATTATAGAGGATCGAATTAAGATTGTGCGCCATCTCTATCTCCACCAAGCAGTGTATTAAGCAGCATTATATAAAAGGAAAAAAAAAGAGAGACGCCATCAAAGCAAAGCCATATACATCCTTCCCATTTTATCAAGCCATCTTAGGAGAATTCTAGGCAGGGTCAAAGCATATTTCAGCAAAAAGCTGGATTTTTTTCTCCTCAAATTCTGTCATTTCTTCCACATTTAAATAAGAAATAACTCCGCTGACCTGTAAATAAGTCCAAGAAGATAATGACCAGCTGCACCATT